ATATGAGGCCAACAAACATGAAAAAATGCTCATCATCTCTGGTCATTAGAGAAATGCAAATCAAAACCACATTGAGATACCATCTCATGCCAGTTAGAATGGCGATCATTAAAAAATCTTGAGACAACAGATGCTAGAGAGGATGTGGAGAAATAGGAACACTTTTACACTATTGGTGGGAGTTTAATTAGTTCAACCATTGTGGAAGACAGTGCGGTAATTCCTCAAGGACCTAGAAATAGAAATTCCATTTGACCCAGCAATCCCATTACTGGGTATATAACCAAAGGATTATATATTGTTCTGTTATAAGGACACATCCATATGTATGTTCATTACAGCACTGTTTACAATAGCAAAGACTTGGAACCAACCCAAATGCCCATCGATGATAGACTGGGCAGGGAAAATGTGGCACATATACACCATGGAATGCTATGCAGCCTTAAAAAACGATGAGTTTGTGTCATTTGTAGGAACACGGATGAACCTGGAAACCATCATTCTCAGCAAACTGACACAAGAACAGAAAATCAAACACCGCATGTTCTCACTCACAGGCAGGTGCTGAACAATGAGAACACATGGACACAGGGAGGGTGGCATCACACACTGAGGTCTGTGGGGGTGGACTAGCGGAGGGACAGTGTGGGGTAGGGAGTTGGGGAGGGATAACATGGGGAGAAATGCCAGATATAGGCAATGGGGATGGAGGCAGCAAATCACATTGCCATGTATGTACCTATGCAACAATCCTGCATGTTGTTTACATGTACCCCAGAGCCTAAAATGCAATACATATATATATATATATCATATATAAATATATGATAAAATAAAATAAAACTGGAAAAAAAATAAGTCCAGGACCAGATAGCTTTATTGCTGAGTTATATTAAACTTATAAAGAAGAATTAACAACAATTATTCTCAAACTATTCCAAAAATCTGAAGAGGAGGAAATTCTCCCTAACTCATTCTACAAGGCCAGTATTACCCTGATACCAAAACCAGAAAGACACACACACACACACACACACACACACACACACACAAAACAAAACTACAGTGCAATATCACTGATAAACATAGATGCAAATATCAAAAAATACCAGCAAATCGAATCCAGCAATACATCAAAAAAATATTTCACCATTATCAAGTGGGCTTTATCATAGGGATATAAGGATGGTTAAATGTATGCAAATCAATAAACGTGATATATCACATAAACAGAAAGAAGGACAGAAACCATGTGATCATCTCAATAGATGCAGAAAAAGCATTTGATAAAATTCAATATCCCTTCATGATAAAAACTCACAACAAATTAAGAATACAAGGAACATGCCTCAACATAACAAAGCCCATATATGACGAACCCACAGCTAACATCATACTGAATGGAAGAAAGCTGAAGGCCTTTCCTCTAAGAACTGAACAAAACAAGAATACCCATTTTCACCACTCTGATTCAACATAGTACTAGAAGTTCTAGCCATAGTAATTAGGCAAGGGAATAAATAAAAGGCATCGAAATGAGAAAAGAGAAAGTCAAGTTGTCCCTCTTTGCAGACAACATGACCTTATATCTGGAAACCCCTAAAGACTCCACCGAAAAACTCTTGGAATTGATAAACTAATTCAGTAATGTTGCGGGATACAAAATCAATATATAAAAATCAGTAGCTTTTCGCCGGGCGCGGTGACTCACGCCTGTAATCCCAGCACTTTGGGAGGCCGAGGCGGGTGGGTCACAGGGTCAAGAGATCGAGACCATCCTGGTCAACATGGTGAAACCCCGTCTCTACTAAAAATACAAAAAATTAGCTGGGCATGGTGGCGCGTGCCTGTAATCCCAGCTACTCAGGAGGCTGAGGCAGGAGAATTGCCTGAACCCAGGAGGTGGAGGTTGCAGTGAGCCGAGATGGCGCCATTGCACTCCAGCCTGGGTAACAAGAGCGAAACTCCATCTCAAAAAAAAAAGAAAAAAAAAATTAGTAGCTTTTCTATACACCAATAACAAGCAATGTGAAAAAGAAATCAGGAAAGCAACCCCATTTACAAACACTATAGAAAAATTACATACCTAGGAATAAATTTAACTAAAGAGATAAAAGAGCTCTACAAGAAAAACTACAAAACATTGATGAATGAAATTGAAGAGGACACAAACAAGTGGAAAAACACCTCATGCTCATGGATTAGAAGAATTACTATTGTTAACATGACCATATTACTCAAAGCAATATAAAGATTCAATGCAATCCCTATCAAAATACCAATAACATTTTTCACAGAATTTTTTTAAAATCCTGAAATTCATATGGAAGCAAAAAAATCCACGAATAAATAAAGCAATCCTGAGCAAAAAGAACAAAGCTGGAGGCATCACACCATCTGTCTTTAAATTATACTACAAAGCTATAGTAATGAAAACAGCACAGTGATGGTATAAAAACAGACACATAGATGAACGGAACAGAATAGAGAACCCAGAAATAAACCCACATATTTACAGTCAACAGATTTTTTACAAAGGTATCAAGTACATACATTGGGAAAAGGGCACCCTCTTCAATAAATTGTGTTGGGAAACCTGGATATTCGTATGCAGCAGAATGAAAATAGACCACCAACTCTTGCCATATACAAAAATCAATTCAAATGGATCAAAGACTCAAACATAATACCCAAAACAATAAAAGTACTAGAAGTAAACACAGGGGAAACACTTCATGACATTGGTCTAGACAAAGATTTTACAGCTAAGACTTCAAAAGCACAGGCAACAAAAATAGACAAACGGAACTATATTAAACTGAAAAGTTTCTGCACATCAAAGGAAAACAACCAACAGAGTGAAGAGACAGCCTGTAGAACAGGAGAAAATATTTGCAAACTATTCATCCAACAAGGGATGAAAATTCAAAATATACAAGGAAATCAAACAACTCAAAAGCAAAAAATAATAATAATCCAGTTTAAAAATAGGCAAAAGAACTGAATAGATATTTCTCAAAAGAAGACATACAAATGGCAACAAACATGTGAAAAAATGCTCAACATCATGAATCATCAGGTAAGCAAATCAAAACCACAATGAGATACCATATCACCTCAGAATGGCTATTTTCAAAAAGACAAAAATAACAAATGCTGGCGAGGATGTTAGTGGAAGTGTAAATTAGTGCGGCCATTATATATATATATAAAAAAACATATGGAGCTTCCTCAAAAAACTAAAAATAGAACTATCACATGATTCAGCAACTCTGGATTATTTAACCAAAGGAAATGAAACCAGTACATCAAAAAGATCCCTGCACACCTATGCTTATTGCAGTATTATTCACAATAGTCAAGATGGAATCAACTTAAGTTTCCATCAGCTGATGACTGAATAAAGAAAATATGGTATATATATACAATTGAATACTACTCAACCTTAAAAAGAATGAAATCCTGTCATTCGTGGCAACATGGGTAAGCCTACATAATAAATCAAGTGAAATAAGTCAGGCATATAAAGATAAATACTGCACATTTTCATTCATATGTGAGAGCTAAAAAAAATTTGAGTTCATGGAAGTAGAGAGTAGAATTGTGAGTATTAGAGACTGGGGGGGGAGGGGAGGCTGGGGAGGGTTTGGTTAACAGATACGAAATTACAGCTAGATATGAGGAATGAGTTCTATCATTCTGCAGCACGGTAGAATTAATATGGTTAAACTACAATTTATTGTATATTTTCAAAAAGCCAGGAAAAGACAATTTTGAATGTATCCAAGACACATTTAAGGCGATGAGTATGTTAATCACCCTGATTTGATCATTATACGTTGTATACATGTGCTGGAAAGGACATCCTCTTCAATGTTCCATTGTATACATGTATACAATGTATACATGTGTATATGTATATGAGCTAGACTCCATCTCATTAAAAAACTCCTGCAACTGAACTACAAAAAGACAACCTGATTTTAAAAGAAGGACTTAAATAGATACTTCTCAACAAAAAGACTTACAAATAAACAATAAGCACATGAAAAAATGCTCAACATTATTGGTCATTAGAGAAATGCAAATCCAAACCAAATCACTACATACCTAGTAAAATGGGTATAACTTTTTAAGAAACAGGGTGTCACTCTGTCAAATACGATAAGCACTCTAAAAGTAAGGTAGAATAAAAATCTCCTTGCGTGTTTTGTATGTTGAAATTATATTAGGCAATTCAAGTAAAAATGTATATGTGTACCACAAGAGAAACTGCTGAAAAAGGAAACAGACAAGAATCAAAGAATTTTTTACATGGTTCCTGTCATTTTACACCACAGAAGATAACTGGTGTGCATGTGATGAAAACTGTTGTGCATGTGTTGAAAACAGAGATGTGGATGGAAATCTAAAGATTATTTTCCTACAATTTTTTATTTAGTTAGTTTTATTAAGAAAGGGCCTCTCAGCTGGGTGTGGTGGCTCACAGCTATAATCCCAGCACTTTGGGAGGCCATGGCAGGCAGATTACGAGGTCAGGACACCAAGACCATCCTGGCCAACATGGTGAAACCCCGTCTCTACTAAAAATAAAAAATAAAAAAAATGCTGGGAGTGGTGGCACACGCCTGTGGTCCCAGCTACTTGGGAGGCTGAGACAGGAGAATTGCTTGAACCCAGGAGGCCGAGATTGCAGTGAGCCGAGATCACGCCACTGCACTACAGCCTGGGCAACAGTGAGAGACTCCGTCTCAAAAAAAAATAAAAAGAGAGAGGACCTCTTTCTGTTGCCCAGGCTGGTGTGCAGTGGCGTGAGCAGGACTGACTGCAGCCCCAACCTCCTGGGCTCAAGCAATTCTCCCTCCTCAGCCTTCCAAGTAGCTGGAACTATGGGTTCAGGCCACCATGCCTGGCTAATTTTTGTACAGATGGGATTTCACCATGTTGCTCAGGCTGTGTTCCAATTACTAGTGATGTGTAACAAATTACCCCAAAACTTAGTGGCTTAAAACAACAAGTTTATTTTTCTCACAATTTTTGAGTCAGGAATTTGGGAAGGGCTCAGGTGGAAAATGTTCTCTTTGGGTCTTCCTTGGAGTTGTAGTCAGATGTCAGCTTGGGCTGCAGTCATCTGAAAACTTAACTGTACCGGATGTCCAAGATGGCGCACTCAAATGGCTTACAGTCAATACTGCTTGTCAGTTAAGAGCTCAACTGAGCTGTTGACCAGAGTTTCTACATTTGGTCTCTACAGCATTGCTGTCTCAGTTGGACTTCTTAATGGCAGCTCAGGGTTACAAGTGTGAGTGTTCCAACTAATCAGGCAAAAGGTGCATCATTTCATATGACTTAGCCTAAAAGGTCACACAGCCATCATTTCTGCTATATACTAATGACCGATAAATTCACAAGCCCACTCATATTCAAAGAGAGGAGAATTTGACTTCACCTCTTAATGGGGGAATGGTAAGATCTCACTATAGAAAAGTATATGGGATGAGAGAGACTGCTGCAGCCATTTATGAAAAAGATAATCTGCCACTGTGTAGCTATCTGTTTCCTGCCAGGACTTTGACTAATAAAGTTTTTCTGCCAGAAAAATCTTTCTTGATCTTTAAAAGAAACATAGAAAAAGGAAGGTCCACTTTATGCCCTTGGACACAGCTTTCTTCATGTGTTGTCTGGAACTGTGACAGCCATTGTGAAACCATGAGGAAGCTCACCTACAAAAAAGGCAGACAGGCTTTTAACCAAAAGACAGGCAATAACAAATGCTGGAGAGGATAAGGAGAAAAGCGAAACTCACACGCTGTTGACGGGACTGTAAACTAGTACAACCAATATGGAGAACAGTTTGGAAGTTCCTTTAAAAACTAAACGGAGCTACCATAGGATCCAGCAATCCTGCTGCTGGGTATATATTCAAAAAAAGGAAATCAGTATAAGGAAGAGATATCTGCACTCCCATGTGTGTTGCAGCTCTGTTCATTTTTTTTTCCCATTTATTTATTTTATTGCATTTTAGGTTTTGGGGTACATGTGAAGAACATGCAAAATTGTTTCATAGGTACACACGTGGCAGTGTGATTTGCTGCCTTCCTCCCCATCACCTACATCTGGCATTTCTCCCCTTGCTATCTCTCCCCAGCTCCCCACCCCCCACCGTCCCTCCCCTATTTCCCCCCAACTGACCCCAGTGTGTAGTGCTCCCCTCCCTGTGTCCATGTGTCAAACCAGACAAAACAAGCAATGGGGAAAGGATTCCCTGTTCAATAAATGGTGTTGGGAAAACTGGCTAGCCATGTGCAGAAAGCAGAAACCAGACCCCTTCCTGACACCTTACACTAAAATTAACTCCAGATGGATTAAAGACTTAAACATAAGACCTAACACCATAAAAACCCTAGAAGAAAATCTAGGCAAAACCATTCAGGACATAGGTGTAGGCAAGGACTTCATGACTAAAACACCAAAAGCATTGACAACAAAAGCCAAAATAGACAAATGGGACCTGATCAAACTCCACAGCTTCTTCACAGCAAAAGAAACAGTCATTAGAGTGAATCGGCAACCAACAGAATGGGAAAAAATTTTTGCAGTTTACCCATCTGACAAAGGGCTGATATCCAGAATTTACAAAGAACTAAAACAGATTTACAAGAAAAAACTAACAAGCCCTGTTCATAATAGCTAAGATTTGGAAGCAGCCTAAGTGTCCATCAACAGATGAATGGATAAAGAAAATGTGGTACATATACACAATGGAGTACTATTCAACCATAAAAAAGAATGAGATCCAGCCATTTGCAACAACATGAATGGAACTGAAGGCCATTATGTTAAGTGAAATAAGTTAGGCACAGAAAAACGAACATTACATGTTCTCACTTATTTGTGGAAGCTAAAAAATTTTTAAATTGAACCCATGGAGATATAGAGTAGAATGATGGTTACCAGAAGCTGGGAAGGGTAATAGGGCTGGGGGGTGAGAGAGAAGTGGGGATAGTTAATGGGTACAAAATAAAAATAGAAAGAATGCATAAGATCTAGCATTTGATAGCACACCAGGGTGACTATAGTCAATAATCATCTAATTGTACATTTTAACTAAGGCAGCCAGGCGTGAGGGCTCACACCTGTAATCTCAGCACTTTGGGAGGTCAAGGCGGGTGGATCAGCTGAGGTCAGGAGTTCGAAACCAGCCTGGTTAACATGGTGAAACCCTGTCTCTACTAAAAATACAAAAAATTAGCTGGATGTTGTGGCGCATGCCTGTAATCCCAGCTACTCGGGTGGCTGAGGTAGAATTGCCTGAACCTCCTGAATGAATTGAGCTGAGATTGTGCCATTGCACTCCAGCCTGGGCAACAAGAGTGAAAACTGACAAAGGAATAGAGAATCAAGCACCACATGTTCTCACTCATAGGCAGGTGTTGAACAATGAGAACACATGGACACAGGGAGGGGAGCATCACACACTGAGGTCTGTGGGGGTGGATTAGGGGAGGGACAGTGGCGGGTAGGGAGTTGGGGAGGGATAACATGGGAAGAAATGCCAGATATAGGTGATGGAGATGGAGGCAGAAAACCACATTGCCATATATGTACCCATGCAACAATCCTGCATGTTCTTTACATGTACCCAGAACCTAAAATGCAATAATATATATATATATATATATATATATATAATTAAAAAATTAAATAACCAAAAGAGTGTAATTGGATTGTTTGTAACACAAAGGATAAATGCGTGAATGGATGGATACCCCATTTTCCATTATGTGATTAATACACATTGCATGCCTGTATCAACAAATTTTATCTACCCCATTAGTATATACACCTACAATGTACCCACAAAAATAAAAATAAATAAATAAATAAAACAGGCAGACACATTTCAAATAGCCAAGTGGAAACAACCTGGGACCTTAATGGCCTCAGTAAGCCTCAAAATTCATTAGCCCTGAAGCTGCACTGCCTCGGATTTCTTGTTTTGTGAGATAATGTCCTTATTGCTAAAGCCAGCTATGTTAGGGGTTTTCTGTTTCTGCTAGCCAACAGCACCCCAAAAAATCTAACATCTTTGTACCAGTGCCTGGTTCACTATAACCTGCATCATCCTCTAGCAATGCTAATGTCTGCCTCAGTTTTTCTGTGGACTTCCCAGATTATAATCGGCACCAGGTAACATCCATATCCCTAGACCTGTTTCCCATTGAACTTCATCCCCATATCATTATTTCTACCTCAGGAAACAAAGCATCCTCAGTTGAGGGTATAGAATTGTGTAAATCAGGCTGAGCACAGTGGCTCACACCTGTAATCCTGTAATCCCAGCATTTTGGAAGGTTGAGGCAAGAGGATTGCTTGAGCCCAAGAGTTCAAGACAAGCCAGGGCAATATAGTAAGACCTTGTCTCTCAAAATTAAAAAAAAAATTAAAAATTGTGTAAAACAGAATGTATACGCCTCTTTCCTCCCTACTCCTGTAACTCCTACTCCCACAATTAATGTTTGTACCTATATTTTCAAAAGTTTTTATATATACACAAAAAATAATTTCTTTACAGAAATGAGATTAACACAGTTGTGAAACTTTCTCTTTTTGTCATCGGCTGGGCGTGGTGGCTCATGCCTGTAATCCCAGCACTTTGGGAGGCCAAGGTAGGTGGAGCACAAGGTCAGGAGTTTGAGACCAGCCTGGCCAATATAGTGAAACCCCGTCTCTACTAAAAATACAAAAAAAAAAAAAAAAATAGCCAGGTGTGGCGGCACATGCCTGTAATCCCAGCTACTCGGGAGGTTGAGGCAGGAGAATCACTTGAACCACTGCACTCCAGCCTGGGTGAAAGAGCAAGGCTCCGTCTCAAAAAATAAATAAATAAAATAAATTGTCATCATCTTTCCATGTCATGTTATACAGATACTTTATTCTTTTTAGAGGCAGCTTAGTAATCCTTTATATGTATACTGTATATACCATTACTTACTTAATAATTTCATTGTTGACAGACATTTAGATTGTTTCCAATAATGTAATAAATATATTTGTATATATATACTCCTGTATTTCTGTAGAATAAAATCTAAAAGTGCATCAAAGGGTGTGCAAACTTAATATTTTGATACCTGCTGCCAAATTGCCTCCAAAATGTTCTGCCAGTTTACACTCCCACCATCTGTGTACGGATGTCCATTTCCCCTCACTAAAATCCTAGGTTTTAGCAAATCTGGCAAGTGAAAACTGGTATCATGGTGCTGCAATTTGTATTGTAATTATAAGTGAGATTGAGCCCCTTCCTAGATATTTATTGGCCATTTGTGGTTTTTTTTTTTTTTAAAACAGGGTCTCACTCTGCCACCCAGGCTGGAGTGCAATGGCACAATCGTAGCTCACTATGGACTTGAACTCCTGGGCTCAGGGGATCCTCCTCCTGCCTCGGCCTCCCAATTAGCTGGAACGACAGGTGTATGCCACCATGCTTGGCAATTTTTTTTATTTTTTCATGGAGATGGCATCTCGCTACGTTGCCCAGCCTGGTCTCCAACTCCTGGGCTGCAGAGATCCTTCTGCCTCAGCCTCTCAGTGTGCTGGGATTACAAGCATGGGCCATCATGTCCAGTCCAGTCCACTTGTGTTTCTTCTGGGAATTGCCTATTTGTGTTCTTTATTCATTTTTCTATTCTGATCTAGTGCTTATTCTTGAGCATGGGAGTCATGTGATCAGAACTAGGCTCCAAGAAGATCAATCTTATTGTAGGGAAAATGACTAGAGGCAAGATTACCACATCACCTAGAACATGGATCTGTGGAAAAAAGAGAATAAGACTTGAAAGGAAAAGGCTGAGTCTAGGCTGATGCTCAAGCTTTTGTTTGGATAACTGAGCAGATAAAGGGGCTATTTGCTGACTTGGGAAAGTCAGGAGGAACAGCAAGTTTAGAAGGACTAGGGGGATGAAGATGATAAGTAGAGTTTAATATATGTTGAGTTTCAGATACTTGCAAGACGGCCAGGAGCAGATAATCAGGAGGCCGTCATATACAAATGTCTAGAGCTCCAGAGGGAGGAATGAGCAAGAGAAAAAGATCTAGGAGCCATCAGCATACAGAGGATAACTGAAGCCAGCTCCTACATGTGGCCTCACCAGCATGGGAAAGCAGGGGGAACTAATAAGATTTTTAAATTGAGAGCTAATTTTTTTTTTTTTTTTTTTGAGACAGAGTCTCACTGTCACCCAGGCTGGAATGCAATGGCACGATGGCAACCTCCGCCTCCTGGGTTCAAGCGATTCTACTGCCTCAGCCTCCTGAGTAGCTGAGATTACAGGTAGGCACCACCACGCCCAGCTAATCTTGTATTTCTAGTAGAGACGGGGTTTCACGATGTTGGTCAGGCTGGTCTCGAACTCCTGACCTTGTGATCCACCCACCTCGTCCTCCCAAAGTGCTGGGATTACAGGCATGAGCCACTGCACCCAGCCTAAAATTTTTTAAAGTACTCAAATTTAGAGAATAGGAAGGAAAAGAATATATAAAAGAGACTAAGGACCCATGAAGAAGACTGAAAGAGACCCATTGGAGTAGTGGGAGAACCAGTGTCTTAGTCTGTTTGGGCTGCTACAACAAAATACCATAAGCTGGATAGCTTATAAATAACAGAAATGTATTTCTTACAGCTCTGAAGGTGTAGAAGTCCAAGATCCAAGTGCCGGCAATT